ATATTGACCTTCAAAACTTGATTTTTCTTATAGAAATTGATGTACAGTTGTACCCCACTTAACGCGGTCAATAGAACCCAGAGGGTCCCGTGTTAAGTGAAATCCGCGTTAAGTGAACAACAGAACATATGGGATTAATTCCAATAGAAACCAGCCCGACCCCCAAACTCCACTTTTTGAAGACACATAACTATGTTGTAGTAAAAATAACATCTTAATTTTATGATGGTACATGCACACAATTAATACTTAAGAGAAATAGAGAAATACAGTCGCCAAGTTAATGTCCATTCAAATAATGGACTCAACTCCCTCCCCCTCTCACACTACACTGCCGGCTCTTCCCTCTCTGAGAAATTTTTTGGGGAAAACCACTAAATTTTAATAAATAATACCTCAAACTAAAGTTAGGATAATACAATTGACATTGCTGGATTCCTTGTAAGACCAGGAATATTTTGAATATAAATGTCATATATTTTGCACAAAAGATAACATAGTTACCCAGAGAAAAATTTTATCTAAAATTTGTATGTCTAATGCAAAATATATGATGTTTATATTCAAAATGATCACCAAATTATAAGAATTCCAGCAATGTAAATTATATTCTGACCGGGTAATTTGTATGAATTTTATGAGCTAAAACAAATATCTTCAGTTAATAAAAAAAAAAATAATCTTCACGACACTATCTGTCAATCAAAGTACCCCACCTTGCCTCCCCCCCTCTTCCAACCGCGCGGTCAGTCCCAACCCTCCCCCCACCCCCCACCAATCCTCCCTTCAAGAGATGTGGGGTGAAAAAAATAAATTTTAACATTTTGTATTAAATAATACCTCAGATTAAAGTTAGGATAATATAATTGACATTGCTGGATTCCTTGTAAGACCAGGAATATTTTGAATATAAATGTCATATATTTTGCACAAAAGATAACATAGTTACTCAGAGAAAAAATTTTATCTAAAATTTGTATGTCTAATGCAAAATATATGATGTTTATATTCAAAATGATCACCAAATTATAAGAATTCCAGCAATGTAAATTATATTCTGGCTGGGTAATTTGTATGAATTTTATGAGCTAAAACAGGCAGTCAGGCAGGGTGGCGGGTGGGGCAAATCTAAAAATAGCATCTCGAGCCGGACACTCACCGCGTATATGTGGAAAAAATCCGTGTTAAGTGAAAGTTCAGCTCTGGCGAGGCACCGCGTATATGATAAAACGCGTTAAGTGAAACCGCGTTAGGCGGGGTAATACTGTAGTTGGTCAATCTGGGTGATCTTGGTGTCGATATGTATGTTTTCAAGCATGCTCAGTTGATTTTTTATAGTTTTAAGTCCATTGTAACATTTTTATCCACATAAAATAACACTTTTAGTAAAAAATATAACAAAAAAGAACTTACTAAAAAAAAAGTATGGTAAACAGTGGGAACACAGTCCCACCACCGAGACGAGGTAACACTCCCACCACCGAGACGAGGTAACACTCCCGCCACCGATCGTCTCGTGTGAAGCAAGTATATAAATTAAAGAAAATACTTGCAGTGTGTTTAATATGTTACAGTATATTATAAATAAACAAATAAATTGGTAAATCCATTTCAAGTAAATGGAAAAATTTTGCTCGACACCTACATTAGTTCCAGTTACCGGTAAATAGCAGACGCTTCAGTGACGTCACTAGTGTTTACACTACACCAGCGGGTAACATTTGATGACATTACTTGAAGTGAATTGGCCTTATTTTAAAAAACCAAGGATGGTTGGTAGAGGACTACTGAGTCAGTGGGTAAGTGTCACATTTGGGGTACTGGTCTTATACAGCGAATCGAGCTCAAAAGCTACTTTTTAAATGGAAATTTGGGGGGGCCGTCTTATGCACCCCGACGCCTTATCGGCCGAGATATACGGTACTAGTAAATTGTCATTACTCACCTAGCGTATCTTAAATATTTTTTACGCTTGTAGGAACTGTATTGTCGTGATTTGTTTACACCACATTTGTGTGTCCTAGTAATGTTTGTTTGTAAGAAAACAGTAGTTAACACCGAAAGGTATTTTAACATTTTAAAAATGCTACAATTAGGTAAAAAAAAATTTGAGTGCTGAAGTAAGTTTGGGTAAGTTTAGCTGACACCGAGGACAAATCTTTCAAACTGCAGCTTAGGGGGTGACTTATCTGCCAGGTACAGGCCTAGATCAACGATTTCATTTGAAATAATTAAGGTCATCTTATATGCCAGGTCGACTTATAGGCCGTACTATATGTTAATTAAATAGGAAATTGATTCACTTGAACACAGTTTTCAGTTGAACTTGGTATAAATTTCAAGAGGCCTGACATAAGGTGTATCTACTATCAAGAATTGATTCATTAGTATCTTGATCACAATGTGGAAGCATTGTTTCGATTATCTATCATCATTAACTGTTTAAGGCCTGGAGATTCAAGAAAATAAATTTACAGTGTAGAATATAGGCAAACTGGAAAATGACAATACAGGAGGCCATTAAAATTCGCTGGTTTTTAATTCACAGCCTTTGATTATTCACGTATGACACCCGGGATGTGCACAAGAATGTCTGCGGGTGCTTTTAAAGCTGGCGGCATGTTGGCGGTCGGGACTGGGAGCCTCAAGTTTTGTAATGTCCTGCAAGGTGTCTCTTGTCCCAGGAGGCTGGGCCATGCCACACTCTGCCTCAGTCTGGGATAAACACTTGTCCATCTCATGTGTGTACTACTCTGCTCTCTTAACAGCTGTGCTCCTTGTGCTTGTCATGGCTCCCAAACGCCCTCATCCAGCCACAGGAAGGTGCCCAAACAAGCAAAGAGAGGAAAGAAGGTCATGACCCTCTTGGAGAAGAAACAACTGCTGGACAAACTTAGGAGTGGCCAAAGTTATGCTGCATGTGGCCAGGAGTATGGCATCAATGTATCAACTGTCTGCTACATGCTACATCAAGAAGAAAGAGAGGGATATTCATAATGCTGTTGCTCTAAGTGCCCCCTCTTCTGCCAAGGTAGCCACTAATGTGAGGTATACAGCTATGGTGAAGATGGAGAAAGCCCTTAACATCTGGATTGAGGACTTTAACCACTCCCAGAAGTTTATCTGTAACAAAGCCAAGATCCTGTATGACCAACTCCATGGTGGTGAAGGTGGTGCTAGTGCTGGTGGTTCTGGTGATACCACAAAGAAAGGTTTTAATGCCAGTTAGGGATGGTTTGAGATCTTCAAGAGGCACTACAACCTGCACTACTTGATGCTCAGTAGTGAGTCATCCTTGGCAGATGATGTACTGTAGCAGCCAAAGAGTATTCTGCGATCTTTGCTGAGATTTTCCAGGAGAAGGGCTACAAGCCGGAGCGGGTTTTCAACACTGACGAGACTGGATTGTGGTGGAAGAAGATGCCAGCAGCGACGTTCATTTCCAGGAGGAAAGAAGTACACTGGGCTTCAAGGTGGCTAAAGATTGTGTGTCTCTCCTGCTATGTGACAAAGCTGCGGGACACATGATCAAGCCCATGCTGCTGTACCATGCCAAGCGTCCGCTTGCACTCAAGAACAAAGACATGCACCTCCTCCCAGTCTTCTACTGCCACAACAAGAAAGCCTGGATGACGGCAGTGTTGTTCACTGACTGGTTTTACAATTGTTTTGTGAGGGAGGTCAAGGATTACCTGTAGGATAAAGGCCTGGAGTTTAAGGTTCTTCTCATGATCGACAACTGCCCTGGCCACCATGAAGCTCTCAAGGTTGCCAACATAAACATTGAGGTAATCTTTCTGCCCAAGATCACAACATCATTGCTCGAACCACTCGACCAGGGAGTCATCGCTGTCTTCAAAACCAAGTACATGACCCACACCTTCAGCAGGATACAGCAGGCCCTGGATGATGACACATAGGCTGGTGCTGAGTCAGTGCGGGAACTGTGGAAGAAGTTCTCCATTGCAGACTGCCTCTCCTTCATCAAGCAGTGCCATGATGACCTGACAGTTCTCTGTGTTAACTACTGCTGGAGGACCTTGTGGCCAGAGGTGGTGGACGACTTTGTTGGCTTCCCCAAGGATGTGCAGCACATCGTCCAGCTTGCTCGTCGAGTGGGAGGTGAGGGGCTTGACGACCTTCAGGAGGAAGAGGTGTAAGAGTAGCTCCTGGGACATACTGGGGAAGAGCTGACTGAGGGAAAAGCTGGCTGAGCTTGTTGAGGATCAGCATCTTAAGGATGAGGAGGAAGAAGAAGGTGAAGTAGGGGACTCATAGACATGTTTTTCGAGGCCGATCCCTCTATCAAGAGATCAGTCAACTTAAAGAGAGGGGTGGAGAAGCTCCTGCTTCCTTATAAGAAAATAATGAAGGAACTCAAGCACGAAGTTGTCCAGCCTCCAATCATCATGTTCTTCTTGCTTACATCTGCAAGAGAGCCTCAGCCTCCTGTTAGTGCTCCGCCTTCTGACTCTGATTTCGACATGGACGACCCTCCTGCTGCCCCTAGCTGTGACCAGCCTCCTCTTCTGAGGCAGATGAGGAGTACTTGTAACTCCCCTGACTTCATCTTCATCATCATTACCATTATCATTCATCATATTCATTTTGATATTCATCAGTGGCAGGGGAGAGAGGACAGGCTCTACACAAGCAGTCTGCATGGAATGGTGATTGTTACTCTATTTTTTATGTACTTAAAATAATTAAAAAATAAATAAAAATAATAATAATAAATTTTTTTTTACATAAGAAAGATGCAAAAAAATGACCCCCATCCTACTGTCAGCAAATGATATTCGCTGATTTGGCAATTCGCAGCCATATTGAGACCCAAACCCTTGCAAATTTTAAGGGCATGCTGTACATTGATTATAGTGTTTTTTGTGAGGATACCATGGCCAGTCAGAGGCAGTGACAGCCATGGTTACCATGAAAATTTAGCCAGATGTTTGTAAATAATTCATTATTTGGGAATACACATGAAATGTCTCTTACAGATTGATGGTATGGATATGCTGAGTGTGCGGGAAGCCATCAAATATTGTGTTGACTACTGCACATCAGGAAAAGGCCCACTGGTACTGGAAGTTGCTACTTATCGTTACCATGGACACTCCATGTCTGATCCAGGCACCTCTTACCGCACCCGTGATGAAATCCAGGAGGTCCGCCAAACCCGTGACCCCATCATGTTGTTCAAAGAACGCATTGTTGATGCAAATCTTGTTACTGCTGATGAACTTAAGGTAAGAAATTGTTCTTTTTCCACAGCTAGAAAAAGGTTGAGTGATTGATTGTGGTAACTACTTCCCTGGCAATGCAACAGTCTGTTACTCTCCACTCAAAATCCAGTAGAGAGAGTGCTGAGCACAATGAGAGATCTATGGCTGTAGTAGTGTTGGCCTGGACATGATAGTGAGTGTTATCACCAGTATTTAATTTGCCCAGGTCCATTTCTTCACTGATTGAGACTATCAAGCCACCCCTTGAATTAACCATTGTATCACCCCAGAGGGTATGCCTTCCGTTAAAATCACCGAGGATAAGATAAGGAGAAAGAAGTTAACAAATGAATGAAACCAAATCTTCCCTGGCAATATGTGAACTGGTAGGGAGGTAAATGGAGCAGAGGGTATAGCTACAGTACATCGGTGGTGAATCTTGCAAGCTGTCACCTGCAACAGGGAAGTGTTAGATAATGGGCTATAGGGTACACCACTCCTGTCCGAGACAAGGATAGCTGTACCCCCATTCTGTCCTGGATTTTAGAGAGATTAAAAAGCCGAATACCCTCAGAGGGGGAATGATCATAGGCACCAAACATTGTCTCCAAAAGACAAATGCATACAGGGGAGAATTCGCTTAAGAGCAACTGGAGCTCTTCCCAGTTGGCTTGTAAGTTTTGAAAATTCCATTGGACGATGGTAGCCATGATTAGTGGGGATCTAAGTAGAGGTACGTGAGTGTGTGGCCCCCAACAAGTGTTTAGGCTAAGCTAGTGTGTTGGAGCTAAGCCTCCTCCAGTACCCCTCCTGAGGGGAGGATGATTTGTATGGGGCTGGGCCTTTCTGTCCCACCCCAGGGCTGAGAGATGTGTCTGTGGCTTTGTGGCACAGATGACCCAGATGTAGACCCATCTGATGGACCCACACCAGGGTTAATCCCTAGAGATTGCTCCCCAGGTGGAAGATCAGTAGAGGTGAGCTTCCAGTGTAAGTATAGCTGGGGTCCCATCACCAAAGGCATCCAGGAGGGGATCAGCCAGTGTCTCTGGGGAGGAGGCACCAGCCTGAGCTGATATCTGTTGAAGTGTCTGGGATCCAGAATTGGGTTCCGAAGTTGGTAAAGGAGTCTTGCTTCCTTCAAAACAGTCGGACGATTCCACCATCGAGACTTTAGTTGGAGGATTGTCCATCTCCAGAGACTCTGAGGACCCTCGATAGAATTACACTAAAATTTTTGTAGTACCAGGATGGCGAGTGAAGAAAAGATGAGCGTAGCAGATGTGCCCACCTCATCCATATGGACCTCAGCCACTACAAGAGAAGGCTGAGGATTGAGGATTGGTGGCACAGAGTCAGGGATGGGTTCCGAATACAGTACAAATACAGATGATTCACGGGGCAGTGTTGCAGCAACAGTTCGCCAAGCTTTATGTTGGGTCAGAACTTGTGCATAGGAATAATCCCCATGGCTTGAGACTGATGTCAATGCTGCGCTTCTGGCTACAGCAAGGCTCACATGGTCTCTCGAGTGGACATAGAGGATCTCTCTCTCAAGTTGCAACCAGTTGTGTTTAAAGTAAGCGGCCGGGTGCGCCTCACTACAGTGAAAACAGCAGACCTGACCCAGACGTTTCTGACCCTCATGGGCCTTACCACAGTTAACACATACTGCAGGAACATTCTGCTGTAGCTTATGACAAGTTCAGCTGACATGGCCATACATCTGACAATGGAAGCATCATCTAGGGTTTGGAATGTATGGTTTCACCTTAAATTACTTTGAAATTCATGTGGAGTATAATTACTTTACTTTTCTTAAACGTGACATATTATAGATCTTCTTAATTATTGCTTTTGTTTTGGGTGTATGAATTTTTTTCCTAACCTACCTGTAATGGGCCCCTGTCTCATCAGCAGAACATATTATATAAATGGGTCAATACATCTGATATTATATTCAGATTCACCACCCTGTAACTTTCCACTGGTTATGAGGTGACATGTTCAATGCACATGATAAGGTGTGCCCACGGGAAGCTGCGTCATACTATGCTGAGTAAAGGCATAAGTAGCCGGCTCTCTGGCCACCTGAAGCGAGCAGTAGTTTGATATCCTTGACTAGAGGAAGACGTTATTTGAGAGCCCCAGTGGATGGCTCCGTATTCCCTCGAGGGGGAACGACGTACCCATACCGTTCTCCCTCGATGGGTCACTCCTCATGAGTCGCTCACAACAACTTATATCATAAGGACGTGACCTAACGTTTATAATGCATAAACGCCGTCCCTTTCTCATTCACTCCTATACAGTGGGACTTACGGTCGATCTACACTCAGGAATTATATATACAACCCTTTTATAATAAAACAAGGAACTACCGTTTGGATTTCGTTACTTAAACCCAAATAATAAATATATGTGAACGGCCTGGTTAATTGCACAAGCAGCCGATTCATACCATTTTTTCCAAAAATATTTGTAAAGATAAATTGGCAAATAATAAACCAAGCCAAATATAAAGAAAATCTATATGTTACACCATGCCCAGCATGTTATTATACTGTACTGTACTACTTAGTTTCTGTTTTATTAGAATCGGCCCCTAAATGGCTGAGCCTTCGGGATTTGAAAGTTAGAAAAACTCATTCTGATATTCGGGCCGGTAGGGTGGCATGAGAGCAACAGACGGTTGAACCTCTCCCTTGCATCTTTTGTGTGTTATTGTGGTGTACAAGACTCTGGTCCTGCTCTTAGCTAGGTGAGAAAGGTGCCAGAATGCCAGATGCTGATTTTTACTGAGTGATTGGTATTACTTTACACCAAAATATTATTATAAATACTTTTCTATAGCTTTTGCTATGTAAACAGAAGGACCCCCTCTAAATGAAAAGGGTAGAACAATCATGCATAGCTACATAAATTTTGCGAATTATGCAATCAAATTATGTCAGGACATAGCCATAAGCAACAGCTTTCCTCAGGAATTTTACTGAAATTTTTTGTAATTTTCCAATTTTCATTGTATTTTCAGCCAGACACAAGCCCTTAAGGGAGATCCAGGCAACCTTGATAGAGGTTGGAGGTTCAAAGCAGTCAAATTTCAATAACAGTATTGGTGTAGGGTTTGTCATATAGACTTTCCATAAATCATTACACACTGAGTATTTGTTTTAATATTGTTTTACTTTAATTCCATAGTATGTTTACTTTTGCAAGTTTTCTTCTGTCGTATGTAAACAAACACAGGGTTGCCACACTGCACAAAACCTGACGAACCCCTATAAATGCCTATAGTGCGTTTTTTCTCAGCTGAGAAAAGATGCCCCGCCCCCTCCTCAAGAGTTACAGCTGATTGACTGTTGCAGATCTGTTCGATTTCATCCTGAAGTAATGATGTATAGTCTCTCCTCGACTTACAACATATTCGACTTACGAATTATTTTTTGTGCTCTGGGGGAAAAAATTAATAATCTGTACTTGTACAATTTACATCACTATTACCTAGTGAAATATTAATTTTTTCACAACTTTTTTTAAATAACAAACTTTTGCTAAGTATGTATGCTTTATAATGGATAAAAGTTCATATTCCAATCACATGAAGTAATGAAGGTATAAAGTGATGTATAAACATTTTCATAAGCACAAACAAAAATTTTGTGTTCTACTCGCACTTACGTATAAATAATTATTTTATTGTGTTCACTCATAAAACTGTTTTAGATAATTTATTTACAACGCTAATGCAACAAATTCCACCTTTTTATCTCAAATGGCAAACTTGCCATAACTCATGTACAATTTTCTCTCGTGTAGTGCAGTCAAGTGCAGTGAGGTGAGTGAATGGCCAGACCCCAAGTGTCTCACCGGAGAGCACTTCCCAAAACCCAAGAGCGTTAATAATACAGAAAGTAGGTTGTCAGCCACCTGACAACCGTTGGAACTGGCAAAAATGCCCAACAAGGCCACGAACCCAACGTTAACATTCCCAACTATCGAAATGTACATGTCTTATGATTTTCCAGTACGTACAGGATATTAGTAAAATAACTAATAAAATTGCTTATAAAAATTTGTAGAACTCACTTTAAACATGGTGACACACACACTGGGAGAATATGAAAAAATCTGGGAGACCATCAATGTTTGGTGAGGCACAGTGGGAACTGACCGATTGTGCCAAAACAATAATGTGAGACAACGCAGTCGATACCAGCAACAACCTTCATCTAGCAGCTAGATTCTAGCTTGAGTTTGAGTTTTCGAAAAGTCCGGATTCTTGAGTGGTCCGAATTTCTGGCATCTGGATTTTTGGACTTTTACTGTATAAGCAATTCAGACAGATTGGGTTTGCATTAAGATATAACTACCAGCCAGATGGATGTAAATTCAGGGTTGCCTGATGGTAAGAATGAAAGAGGGTGTGGCAATGAAGTTGAGCAAGATAAAATGTGAAGGTGCAGTCCTAGAATACTAAAAATAAGCTTATAAATGAGGTTTGAGAGATGGGCCTCAGTGAAAGAATATACACCAGGGAATGAGAAAAGGAGGGTGTAAATAGTCTGGGAAGACCTGAATGACTAACTGTATTGAGAACATTGTGAGAGGAACAGATATTGATGGAAATGGATGGGATTTTAGATATATACAGTATAGTCTCGTTTTACATAAGAAACATAAGAAAGTGGGATACTGCAGGAGGCCGACTGGCCCATACGCGGTCAATTAAACCCTTGGAGGTCCGCGTATAACGCGAAACGCATAAGCAAAATAACAGAACATATGGGATTAGTTGAAATATACTGGGCCGACCCCCCAGACTACCCTTTTCCAACACAATACGTACGTTGTAGTAAAAATAAATCTTAATTTTATGATGGAATGCACACACAATTAATATATAAGAGAAATATCAATAATATTTGGTTTTTTAACACTTACGTTAGTAGAAGAGATGGCTGGGCACACGGATGGGGGGGTTGGTTCTGAGGCAGAGGGCAGATTATTGGCCCTCACCTGTATCACTTATATCACCTGTATCACTATCCACCACAGAGGCTAGCAGGGCCTCCTTGTCAAACCCCTCTAAGTCCATATCCTCACTATCACTAAAAACAAAACCGGATCCTGGACACGAGGGAGTATACGCGGAGACGGGAGACAATGGGACTGGCGCAGTTAAGGTCATCGACTCATCGCCCCTGGTGGCAGGGCAAGCATAAGTTAAATAGACCAATCACAGCTCGCGGCGGAGGGGGTGCGTGGGTGGCAAGGATATGTAGCCCAATCACAGTCCGAAACGTCATCTGACATAAGCGGTGACGTAAGAGCGACCTAGCGCGCAGCTTGTCCGCTCCTCTTCCCGCGTAAATTCAGGAATGTACCAGGTAACTAATAATTGGCGCTTCTGGACAGGTGCCGCGTATAAAAAATCTGCGTAAACCGAGACTATACTGTAGGTGGATAAGTTCCCTATTTTTACCACGGTATAGTATTACCTTTGTAACATCTACTGTTGTCATCATACATGCAATATGCCAGCTTAGTCAGGCTGGAAGGAGTTGGGATTGGTGAAGTGTTGTCTGTGCAGCAAGATTAAGGATAACCAAGAGGTATGGTTGTGGACGAGGTGGTTAAAGGATTACATACTGTATTAACTTTCAAAAAATTTAAATTTTATTTAAATTATTTTATATGTTTAGATTTTGATTATATTAGACATATTGATGGAACTTGGTGCCTATCTCCTTACCAGAAAATTGACAGTGAAGTGCGTAAAGAAGTAGATGAAGCCGTGAAGATTGCCAAGAGTGACAAAGAGATTGCTGTCCAGGAACTTGCTGCTGATGTTTATTCAAATCCCTTGGAGTCCTCCATTCGGGGCACAACACCCTTTGACCCTTACACACACCAGCGCCTCAGCAAAATCATCAATCTGCACTGATGTGTTCTTAGCAGTTGTGCTAATGTTGTAACGTATTATACATATGAAATTTGAACAGTACCTGTATGTACCCTATGTCTGTTCAGTGTTACCAGTGTTAGGTTTGCACCATAAAATGCTACTTGGTAGTTTCTGTACAGTACAATATATATATTTTAAAACTGATCACATTCTAGCCATTTTTGTTTCAAATGAATGCAAACTGTGGTTTCCATAGTTTTTGTTTCATTTAGAAATGAAGACCTTTAATTTTCTGCTGGGTGGGCTTGCTGTGCACACCATGTTCCACCCACAACTTCTTGGTCCCCCCTTCTTGAGATTCTTGGATCTGCCCCTGGAAATATATACAGGTAGAATGAATCCTTGGTATAGTTGTGGAAATGTGTTCCTATCCACCCCGTGGCCAACCTATAATGACCTATAGCAAACCTATCCACCAACTACGTCCGTCGTTACATGACCAGTGCACATTCATTCATAAACAGTGATACTACTACTGCAACGTTACCATTTCAAGACACAGGTTACCACATTTCTGAAGCTGTACGAGTACTGTACACAGTACATTTATATATATATATATATATATATATATATATATATATATATATATATATATATTGTTGTACATATGTTATTATTGTAGTAACTGGAATAAATTTATTGTTCTACCATTTTCTCTATTATATATCCACTCAATGAACATGTAATAGTATGGTGCTCTGTCTTCTGACGATGAAGTTTAGCATTTTATTTGTCTGTTTGTAATGGGAAATCATGGGTATAAACAAGAATAATTTACAAAGTGGTTTTTATTGTAAAAAAAGAACTGGGAAAACAAATTGGCACACATCATCACAAACTTATGAGATCAATAAGTTTAACATAGAAATATTGTTGCTATGTCACTTGAAGCTCATTTCCCAGCCAAGTCTTATAATAAATTAATTTTTAACTTGATTACTTTACAAATATCACTTGAAAGACCTACATCTTGTCTCCGAAGGTTTCAAATACAGTAAAGGTTTGCCCAATTAAACTTTTATCAGTGGAATAATTGAGCAAAACAAGCCCTTACACAAAATAATAAAGCGGAAAACTATTAAAAATAAAAATCTTTAGCAGGTCCATTTTTGGGGGGTTAAAAATGTGCACCAACTCTGCTACTCCTTCATTTGGCCTCCTTCTTCGTCATCATCATCCACTCCGCGGATATACAAAACGTTGTTACAGCGGATGAGCACTTCTCCTAAACTGCCAGTTGACTGACCATCGATATATTCCTCCGTGTTTGCCAGCTGTAAGAAATTTTCATCAGCCTTAAGTACATTAAAAAAAAGTGATAGAAGATGGTGGTTGTTCCCCTCCCTGAAGTGCCTAGAACTGTAACTGGACTTTAGCTAACATCACACACAAAAACCCTTACAAGTACCTGTTATGAGTCTATAGAAAGTTATTGACTGGAAATAAAATACAAGACGGCTGAAAGGAAGGACAAATTTACACTAAACCCCTGTGAACTTTTGGTCATGGTATGTAGGAGGAGGCAATCCTCTATAGAAAAAGAGAGATTTGAAATATATTGATCTTGGATGACCTAAGCTCTGGTAGTTTTAAATGTTCCTTTCCATCGATAGGGGTCTTTGTATTTACAACCAGCTTTAAAAAATTTGAGTCGCAAAGGACAATGCGCTACAACACCCAATAGGTGTGGTGGTAAAATTAACTTATAACATTAGAATTAGTTCAATCTACTGTCTCACCTCCCCATCGAGTGCTGTAGTGCAACCTCCTTTGAGACAGAAATTCTTTTAAGTCTGGTTGTTAACACGAAGATCCCCGTAGACAAAAATGGGCGTTTTAAAAATACGGGGTAAGAGTCAAGTTATTTATTCTACAATGTTGTTACAGGATATATAATTATGAAGCCATATCGAGCATACTATCAACTACAGTATATGGCTTCCTCCTATAATATCCAATATTGTCTTGTTTCATTTGGCTTTAAGAAGCAATAGGCCCAACAACTTATCTATCTAGTGCCTGAGTCTGTGTGTTACCTAAACTGGTCCCTACCACCACCACTCTATCCTCTTGTTGTCTTTACATTGATGTCCTTAAAACTTTCATTACATTTTTATTTTGCCAGTATTACTTCATGTCTATTTTCAGGATACCATTTATATTCTTGGTGTGTTATGTTTAGCCACTTTCTTTGTTTATGTTTTTAATTGTCTCCATGTTGATTTCACCAATGTATGGTGTATTAAATACGTTCTGTTCCAAGTTTGTCTGTGAATTTCATTGTTTGTGGTGCAGTGAGGGTAGTACAGGTTGATAATCCCTTATCCGAAATCCTTGGGGCCAGAGGCATTTCAGATTTCTGAATTTTTCGTTTAAATATGAGAGTTCAGATCACTGACTCCACATCATAAAATATAATACACACACACACACACACACACACACACAATACTGTAATAATAATTCATAGGTTTAGGTCGCTTTTCTCACTTTTGATCTTTTTTTCATTCTTGTATTTCTTTATTATTATTATTTTATTACAGTATTATTGTAATTATTATTATTATTAATTTTTGTATTATATTTTATTATTACTATTATTATTATTGTTATCATTATTATTTTATTTTGGTGTACAGTATTTTAATTAAAAATCTTATTACGTACTATGAATAATTATTATTATTATAATTATTATTACTATTACAATTACAATTACATTTTCGCCCACCAGACCCGATGTGAGTCAGTGATTTATGCCCGGGTGGGCTAATCCCTGTTAGGAAAAAAAAGCCCCACAAAAAACTTTCGGTTTTTAGAGCTTTTCGGTTTTCGGGATTTCGGATAAAGGGTTGTCAACCTGTATGTTATAAATATACAGTATTGTTCTTTATTTTGCAGCATCTGTGTGGTTTCTTCCCATTTGTTTTGCTTAAAACCATCAACAGCTGCTCAAACTATAGGCCCAGTTGTTCCACAGTGTGTGTGTGTGTGTTTGCACACAGGGTGGTGAAATGCGTCTAGTGTGGCAGCATTATGTTAGTGTTTAGGTGCAAACACTGCCTGCTCCCTCTCCTTTTCAGCTACCCTCGTGGCAAACAGGGAAGCAACTTGCATAAATCTTCCCCTGCTAGTACACAGCCTCTTCACCATCAAGACTCCTGCTGTGCCTCCTCGTGGCAACACACAGTAACTGGGTACCGCGTGGGCCCAGGCGAGACCAGCAGGGGATCTCGGAGAAGCAGTGGGTCCCAGAGGGAAAGTGCATAGGCCCACTGGCGCCTACCAACCATTGCCCTGCTGCCTTGCAGATTAACCTTGGTAGGCATAAAGCTACGGGAGTAAACCCTGAACGAAAAATCTGCGGTGGAGCACCGCATCAGGCAAACATGCTTACAGAGCTCCAGCAAGACCCCAACGGTGGTATAGGCGGAAGAGGTGACCAACATGGGAACCCAACGACTACACTGGTGGACGAAGGCAATGCCTGATGGACAGGCTACTGAGGCGAAACCCAACAAACTGGGCAATCGGCAGTCCATTGCAACTCTCCCTCTCCCCAGTCGTTGCAACACTTACCGCTGGATCAGGAAAAGGGAGAGCCAAGGTGTGTGGTTGCAGCCTGTGGTCCTGCCTCACCACATAAATCAACTTGCGTACAGCCATCATCCAGCTCATCATACCTCTCATCATCAAAACCCCAATACCCGAAAAGTCTTATGGCGACGGACTAGTGGTGACGGGGACAGGCAGAGATGACTGCCAGGAGTCTCTAGTCACAACTCTGCACATGGGCGGCACAGATAAGATGGTCGCTTATGCACTGGGATCTAGGTAGCAGCGCAATTCGGTCCTGTCTGTGCAACTGAGCAGCCCTTTCGAGGAGCCACTCTGCTCACCCCATGGGAGGGGGATAGAAAAGGTGACCTAAACATAGCCTGCCTAAAAAAACGTGATTTGGCGGCAATGCACCCAGTAAGGTCATCCTTATGTGGTTGAAAACACAATCAAAATCACTGATCGAAACAAAACAAACTACGTATACAACCTCTTATGGTCGCTTCATGGAATATTAGGACCCTCCAAGATAGTGGCACAAATGAGCGTCCTGAAAGAAGAACCGCCCTTGTGGCAAAAGAGCTGGCTACATATAACATCGACATAGCAGCCATTAGTGAGGCCCAGCTCCCAGACGAGGGTCAACTCACAGAATGAGGGTCTGGCTACCGGTGTTTCTCAAACTTTTTCACTCCATTCCCCCCATGAGGAACACTCAACATCCTCGTAGCCCCCCTTCAGTTCTCTCCCAAGCCCCTCACAAATAATGATGATAATAAATTGCTTTTGTACTCTTCTTTTATTTTAATGTTTACAATCATCAAACAGAATGCATATTTTGTTACAGTTCAATGGATTGGATGACATTTATCAGTGAGTCACTGATAAAGCACATCTCATGTCTGGGTCCACATGTAACCGGTTTCGGCTTTTATTCTTTATTTGAAGAAGGGCGGAGGAACCAGATTCACATAAATAAGTAGTAGAAAATGGCAAGAGGACTCTAAGTGCGATCTCACAAACTTTTGGATTCATCACCAATTTCTCTTTTTTCCTTGAATTCTGGGAAGTACCTTTTGAGCTCACTTTCCAAGGATTTCAAGTGCTGAATTATTTCATTTTTCAGTGATGGGTTAAATAGATAAACCCTCTTCAATCTCGTCAAGAACAGTTGAGAGATTCTCAAACATGGCAACATTTCCTGCACTGACTTTCCTTTGCCAGTTCTGGAGTTTGTCAAGAAATGCATGAATACAATCCATGTGGTGAAACACATTTCTTTCCTTGCCTTGTAGCCTAAAATTCAGCCTGTATAGTTGTTCAAATATGTTTGCCAGGTACGCAAAGCGTGGCTCCCACAATACCTCGTTGAAGTGACTTAATAGATCATCCTTCCCTTTCATTTCCAGGAACAACTTAAGTTCTCCCCGAAGTTCGAACACTAGATTCACAAAATTACCCTTGGAAAGCTATTGCACTTTGGAGTAAAAGAGGAGGGTTTCATGCTCTGAATCCATGCCTCTACAGAGGTTCTGGAAGAGGCGAGAGTTCAAATCTCTTGCATCCACAAAGTTGACGCATTTTATCACTGCCTCCAGGATCTTGCAAAGGGCATCAGGGAGGGTTTTTATCGCTAGTGCAAAATGATGGATCATACAATGAACTTCTGGCATTCGGAGCTACTGTGCTTCCTTGACGTGCTTCTGTAACCCCGATTTCAATCCCAGCATCGCTGGAGCCCCATCACTGCAGACTCCACAACAATTTTCCCAGGTGATCCCGTTAGCTGTGAAGAAAGAAGTCAACTTAAAGCTGTTGTGGAAGTTTCAAGCTGTGTACAAAACAGATATTTTTCCTTGATATCACACAAGAATACATACCTAACAAGAGTAGCTGTGCACAAGAACTCACATCCATTGTCTCATCCAACTGTATTGCAAACATATCAGTTGGAGACGATTTAATCTCCTGTATCAATTGTTCCATGATATTATCTGACATTTCACTAATTCTACGTTTCACCGTGTTGTCTGACGAGGAAGTCTGCTGAATCTTACGTTCACTTACCTCTTCAAGAACCCATTTGACCATCTGGCTAAATAAACTGTTTCAATTCAAATCATTTCAATCTTAAAGCACAATGCTTAATTAAAGTTTTACCAATCGTGTGGGCCGTCTTCTTCTTTGCTATTTCAATGGAAACCTCATATGATTCCTCAACTGCACTCAAGTTTTGTTGTTGAAAAGCACCACTCTCATCCAGCCTCTGTTTTCCCAAACTCCGCGTCATGGCGCTTGAAGAAATTGGGGTCTCTCCGCATACTGGGGGTGGATTGTCGTCAGATGATGCTTCAGCTTACTAGGCCTCATGAAATCGTTCCCCAGCACTTTGAAACATAACACACACTGAGGTTTCTCGATGCCATCAGCGAGGATTGATGTAAATCCATAGTGAATGTATTCATCATTGTACTTCCGCTTCTTAGCCATCGTAAACTTAAGGAAATTAAAAAACAAACGCCAAACAGACAGAAACACGCAAATGATAAAGACTAAAATTTACAATAATAAAAAACAGAAATATAAGACAATCATGAATCTCTTGGTTTTACTAAAAAAAATTAATCTCTCTCTCTCTCCCTCTCTAAGTGTGGACTATTTCTTTAAAAAAAAACAATGTCAGACAGAAACAGACGAATGATAAAGACTAAAATTTATAATAATAAAAAAAAGGACAAAATAATAGGAATGGCAAACATGCATAAAGTACATACCGTATTTTGCGGCATATAGGACGCACTTTTTTTTCTCAAAATTTTACCCTCAAAATCACCCTGCGTCCAATATGGTGAAGATCAGGATTGGGGTCCAGCTTGGGATCTCAGTATCCCCCCAATTTAAGAATCCAAACAACTTGATAATGAATATATATGGAATATTACAAGAATAATTCCATTTAACAAAGAGAACAATTAAAACAATATAGGTTGACAACCCTTTATCCGAAATTCCAAAAACCGAAAAGCTCTGAAAATCGAAAGTATTTTTGTGGAGCAATTTTTTTTTTTTTTTGATACCAAATTGACCCACATCGGCCTGGGGTGAAAATGTAATAACAATAATGATTATAATAATAATAATAATAATGATAATACAGTATTAATAATAATTATTCATAGTAAATAAAATTTTTAATAAAAATAATAATAACAATAATACTGTATTAATAAAGAAATAATAATAATAATAAAGAAATACAAGAATGAAAAAAGATCAAAAGTGAGAAACACGACCTTGACCTATGAATTATTATTATTATTACAGTATTATTATTATTATTATAATTATAATTATTATTATATTTTAGCCCCCAGGCCCCAAATACCAGCCTGTATGATCCTGTATAAAAAAAAAACTTACCATTCTGAAAACCGAAAAATTCCAAAAACCGAAATGCATGTGGCCCCAAGGATTTCGTTAAAGGGATTGTCAACCTGTAATAAATAATCAAGGCATATTGAGTAAATGACGGCGATAATTCTTGAAACTACCGGCAAACCACTCATTGTCACAGATGTTTACAGATTTCCCACCAATAACTAGTGTTATATTTCCTGTATAAACATGTCACTGCCTTATAAAATAAAACAAACCTTCATTGAGGCACGAAATGCTTCATTTACCGGCTAATGCTCAACAAACAACGGAACAACGGTCTACCCACTTGGCAGCCATTTTTGTTTTTTATTTTGGTAGTACAGACCGAACACTGACAAACCATATGCGCAACTGCACGGAGTAGCCTGCAGCCAACCGACTTCACCAGTCTGAACACAAACCTTCTCGGGGTAGCATAGTGCTCTTCCATGACTGTTCAACCAAAATACCCTAACAGAATGGAGTCGAAGAAAAGGCATAGCTACACTATCAGCTACAAATTACAGGCCGTATCAAAAGGCCTAGGAATATGGCTAAAGGTTATGGTGCTGTACATGCAAAGTGGATAACTGGTGTTACTGACAAGGTATGTGGATCTAGGACATATTTAGTGAAATGTGGTAACTCTTTGAGATATGTTCATGTGGATCACACCATTCAGGCACATGGCGAGATGAATGTAGCACCAGGACATGATGATAAACTTGACACAGTTTCAGATGATCATCATGATGATGATGTCAAAGATGATGTTTCCCAGCATCCACTCACTGTGTCAACTGACTGTAGTGATGATATGTCTGTCACTGATAATGCACAGAGTGCAAGTGAAACCCCTGTAAGACTTGATGAAGGGAATTGTCCTAGAAGATCAAACAGAGTTAGGCAGTAGTATGCCTGGGCGGCCCTGAGTTTGCGCCCCCCAGTCTCAAAAATACATCAATTGTTGCTCCACGAGCAATCCTAATTTCCAACTCCTTCCATTGTGTGAAATTCCGAACGTGAGCTGCACTGAATTCGTGCTCGCATATTCTAGGATTCAGTTTCCACCACATGTTGAATCCATCCTCAGAATTAAACAGTTTGCAACAAAAGCAGTAAAGAGCTTCCTTGGAAGGGGAGTACACCATCCATGATCTCAACATTCTTTCACCATTTGGCAGAGTTTGAAAAAACCATTCGCGTGTTAGTTTTCTAGTTTGTCCTTTGGTTGACACACCTTCACGAATTACTTCACCAAAATCAGAATCTAGATTTTGAACCACAGGCGCACCTTGACGTACCAGAAAGATCCGTGTGTCATTGCTAATCTTGCTTGGCCATAGGCCAACATCTTTTATGTCCACTCTGTCCACAGCTGGTCCCGGAATATTTTCTTCTTCATGTTCTTCATCACTTGAAGGAGTTGAAGTTGACGAATCGCTTGAAGTTGAACTTGAATCCCTTGAATTTGATAATGATTTGGTTTCTATACGACTGATGTATTTAAAGAGTGCCCCTTTATTCTTGTTTAATACTTCCTCTCTTGCCTTTCTCTTTTTTCTATACGCAGCACCACTTTCTTTAGCTCGCTTCATCTGGGGACAGAGTGATAGAAGTATAAAACATTAATTTTTCGAGAAATAAATTCACACTGCATGTTTAAAATTAAAAGATAAAAAAAATTGAAAAAAATGACGAGAACTTTAGATAAAAGTGATGAAGCTAAATATTACAAGTCACAAATTCTACACTTTTAACAAATAACACATTAAGAAAAAAGCTCTGTGTAGCAAAAGAATGCTTTTGTGAATTTACAAAAAAAAATTTAAAATGTATTACGTACATTATTTATTATTTCGGCATTGCATAATATAAAAAAACGCTATTCCAAAAGTAATATGCATAGGAAAACATTTTTTCTTAAATAGCATTTCCTCAGCATATATATATATATATATATATATATATATATATATATATATATATATATATATATATATATATATATATATATATATATATATATATATATATATATATATATATATATATATATATACAACCTCTGCCTGAGGATGTATTAAACAATATATATATATATATATATATATATATAGAATCGTGCAATTGTACTGCACCGTTGTTGGTATGATCTAAACTCACGGTATAATGACACTAGTATCAATGTAATACAATGGAAATGTAAAAAGTAGCAACTTAATCTAAAATTACAGACTCAGAGTACAATGAAAATGGATGTCTGACATAAGCCCCCCCGACGAAAGCCACCCAGACAAAAGCCCCCTACTTTGATCGGGGTGGCTTTTGTCTGACAACCCTAACCCTAACCTAACCTAACCCAACCTAATCTAACTTAACCTAACCCTAATCTAACCAATAATTAACCACAGAGAAGAACAGTATATTTTACCCTCAACTATTTAATTATGTCCGTAACTTTTGAAAGCCCTTACTGTTGTCAGACAAAAGCCACCCCGATCAAAGTAGGGGGCTTTTGTCTGGGTGGCTTTCGTCTGGGTGGCTTTTGTCGGGGGGGCTTTTGTCTGTACCCCATTGAGGATAGTGTCTTAGTATAAAATCGCAATGCTGTGAAACAAAATCTTAATATTTAATCTCAGTACCGCAGCAAAAGTCACATCAATATTTTTTAACCAATACTTTAATATTTCTTACCTTATAGTATTATGTCTTCCAACGAAGTAAATAACTGGATCGAAAACACAAGAGAACTTAAAAGTCGTCTAGCCTCCCCTCGTCTTGTCACGATGGAGACTTGTGCAGAACTGAAGTGAATTGCTTGTAACTGGTGGATTGGTCGGCTGTACATGAACTGATATGACCCGAGACTGCATGGTTTTGCAGCTACTGGAGACGTTAATCCTTCCCTTTGTATCGGCGTTAAGTTAATCCTCGTCGTGTCTGACCTAACACCTGACCCACACCACATGAGCTCACTGGCGTACTTGTTTGAAGTTGTTTCCTTAATCCTCAACAGGTTACAGGTTGTGTGTGTGGCGGGGGGGGGCGCATAGCAAGGTAATAATAATAATAATAATTAACGGTTTATTGAAAAAGTTCTGCAGCCCGAAGGCTGAAAATATACATTGGACATAAATGACTTATTACATACATTGGTGGTTTAACAAAAGCCTTCATTAGAGAAAGGAAGGAACATACAGTGAACATATAGATTAATGTGGGTGTTGAACAGCAAAAGATTATGTAACTCCTCAGATGGTGTTAGGAGGACCTCACGTGGTGTAGTACTCCTCACAGATATTATGAGGCCTCCGTGGTGTAATAATTCCCTCACAGATGGTGTTATGAGGGGCCTCGTGGTGTAGTAATTCCCTCACAGATGGTGTTATGGGGGCCTCACGTGGTTAGTAATTCCCTCACAGATGGTGTTATGGGGGGCCTCACGTGGTGTAGTAATTCCCTCACAGATGGTGTTATGAGGGGCCTCACGTGGTGTAGTAATTCCCTCACAGATGGTGTTATGAGGGGCCTCACGTGGTGTAGTAATTCCCTCACAGATGGTGTTATATGAGTGAGGTGTGGTTCCAGGCCTTCCTATCGTAGACAAATTAACACATCGCTGGTAGTTGGGTCTCACGGGCCGTTATCACTGGGTACCTGGGACCTCACTGTGTGAAAGGTCAACTTGGGTACCACTGTTACTGTTGAGTTGTTCTCACTGACTCAAGCACTGTTCACCACTGTTCACCTCTGTTTAACACTGGTTCCATTTCTTTCCTAAATGAAATAGTAACTTCTGGCGTGAACTTGTTGATATTCCGGTGGGGAGGAGGGTTCAGGGGAGGGGGTTGGTATGGGCCAACATAACAGTTGACCTGGCTGCTCCGAGAGGAGCGCCAGGTACGTCTTGACCCTTCGGTGTAGCTCATGACGTGGCCGTGATGATGTGGGTCAGGTGTTAGGTCAGACACGACAAGGATTAACTTGCCGCCGATACAAAGGGATGGATTAACGTCTCCAGTAGCTGCAGATATGGGTGATGAGCAGACCCAAAAGTGCCGCCCCCCAAAAGTGCCGCCCGGGGCGGACCGCCCCCCCCCCGCCCCCCCCTAGCTACGCTAGTGTTTAGGAGACCTGTAATTAAATTAGACTTCTAATTATCTGAATTGTGAATAGGCCTTTCAAAACTGTTTAGTTAGGAAGTTATATTTGTTGTGTTCTATTCCCTTCTTCCCTGCCATATGTAATTCTGTAAGTTTCGTTATTTAGGATTTGTATCAGCCATGCTCTCTTTTGAAAGGGAGAAATAGTGTTATATATATATATGTATGTTTATATGCTGCCTTTATTGATTATATATACATTATATATTATGTTACTTCTTACCAAAGTCAGAAAGTGTTTAGGCTTGTGTAAACACGAAATGTATTAGGCACGTTGTAACCAACACCAGAGAATAAACTCCCCAGCTAGATTGACCATGTGACTCGTCATTCTCCCATTAAATAACGCAAGATACTACAGGTGCATGCCCAGTATTTGCCAACAGAGCGTGATAGAGACATGACCGATCGCCCGGGCGGCTAGCGAGCCGATCTTTTGGTGAAGAAGATAAATGAAAGGGAAAAGTAATCAGAGACGTGACGATCAGTGGCAATGAGGATAAAAGTAAAAAAAAAGTGAACTGGTTCGATTTCTGAACTGGGGATGGTCGCCCTGATGAGACTTGTGCTGCCATGGGTGTTGGGCCCTTTTGGTACAGAGTATTGTTGGTATCCAGGCAAGCGGAATTTTTTATCTTTTGACATTAGGGTTTCTTGCAGAATGAAGACATCAATATTTTTAGCTATGGCTGCTGCTTGTACTTTATGCCATTTGTTGGACAGGCCTTGTACATTCCACCGTGTTATCTTGAGATGACAAGGAGGTGGGGCTATTCTATCATTATCTCCTCGTCGCTGGTGCTGTAGTTGCTCACGGCGTTCATGGTCGAGTCGCTCTCCTCGTCCGTTAGGAATGGTGTGCTCATTGGTGGCTGTTTCTTGGGCACCTGCTCTAAGGGAGGAGCAGGAGGTGGAATTCCGCTTGTTTTTGGAGGTATCTCGGGAGTTTTTTCCGCTCTCTTTAGGGTGCTGTCGCTCTTGCCTGTGATCGTGTGTTTGCTGACGGTCTGTGCTTGTTGTTCTGTTCCTCGTGATCTGTTGCAAGGGGCTTGAGGTTTCACGGTTTTGAGTGATCTCTCGGATGGCAAGATCTTCTTGTCTGATATCTGACTCAAGGGCGTCGTCTGTTCTACTTGTAGTTGTGGAGTTTTGGCGGTCTGGTCTTCCTGCATCTTTTCTGTGAGCTGTGTCATAACTGCATTTATTATATTTTCGGTGCTGGTATCTTGTTTCTTTATTATAGTAGAGACAGTTACTATCATAATGGTGATCATCTGTTTTATTTGTTCTTCTGTGAATGCCGCTTGTAGATTGGCAGGTTGGGGTGTATTCAGTTGGGTGGTCGCCTGGTGGGGTTGCAGTGTCCCAGGCAATATGATGTTCTCCACCAATACTGGAGTGTTCTGTGCTTTTACTGCTATACAGCTCTGGAGCTGCAGTTGTGGAGTCCACTGATTTGTCATGGTTTCCTGCATGGACTGATTTTGTCCCGGTGTCTTCAATTTTGTCCTGTAGCCTGGTGGGGGAAATGCAGGGAAGGAATCCTCTGACAGTTGGGTGTTGGGTTGACTGTTTTCTGTCGCTGTTAACCCCACACGAATGTGCTGTGGGGTGCTTCTGTTGTGTTTTGTGGTTGTATTTTTGCCATTAAAACTTTCATCTGCTCTCTCCTCTCTGGGCATGATGTGCCCCAAGCGTGATGTTTCTTTCCACAATTTGGGCACTTCGCTGTCGTGGTGGTTCCTTCCTTGTGTTTTTGAATACACATTTCTGTCTTGTGGCTTAGGCTGCAGATGCCACATCTCACTTTTTTGTGGCACCTGGATTGGTCATGTCCGAATTTATGACATTTGTAGCATCGTAGTGGTTTTGGAACAAAAGGACCACAACTTGTAAATCCCCCAGTTGCCTAGGTCTACCTCCTCTGGGACTGTCCCCTTGATGTCCACTAGCACTTGCCTTGTCTGTGCTTTGTCCTCACTCGTAACACAACGCTCTGCCTTGGTCACTTTTGGATGTTTTATGATGACTTCTACAGGTAGTTCCAGAGGATATCGTAGTAGGACCATTCTGGTTGTTTTCTCCTCGGGGTCTAATGGTATTATCTTGACCATCCTTCTGTTGAGGTTGGTGACCTCGCTGAGGATCTTGGCTGTGTTGTGGTCTTGGGGGGAGAGTATTAGGTCTCCAACTAGATTGGGCTTCACACTGAACTTGATGTTCTTGTATTCTAGTTTCAGTGCTACAACTACCTCGTATGCCTGATTGAATTCGGTTTCTTTGGGAATCTTGTATTTTATCATAGTCGGAATCACGAAGGTGGGTGGTTCTTCCATGGGGTGGATTTCTGGGGACATATTGTCTATGTCGGAGATGTTGTTTTCCTTCCGAGGCCTCTTGTGGCATTTTCCTTCCATCGATTACGTCTCTCTCGCTCGTCTTTATATCAATAAATTGACAATGAAGACTCACTACACCTACCTAGTTCCTTGTTGCCCTAGGACAAAATATGTTATTGCTGTGTACAGTACTGTATATCAACATTGTCATTAAACATATGGAAATCCATGATATTTACCGTCTAC